CCAAAAGAAGTGTGACAAAAGAACAAATTTATTTACTTGTACATACAGTAAATTAATTTCATTTTCAGGTACATAGCTTACATTATTGTACTCCTGAAGATATATATTTAACCAGGCTTTTTGTAAGTTGTCTTCAGGATACAAAGAATAATCTGGTTTATCAATACCTAAAAGAAAAATTTATTTTGCATATAACGTTTACACTATCTTGAGCAGAAATGAAAAATATGATATTCGCATTAGTATTAAAGAGACATATTCAAATTACCAGCAAATTCTGCAAAATGATTAGCTATATCATAAGGCTGATAATTATAAGCAGTATATTCAAAATCAATAAAGGTAACAATGTTCTCCTTTTGATTGTAAAGCACATTTCCTAAAAGTAAATCATTATGAGCAAAGACTACTTTGCTATTCAAGCTTGTCAGAGTCTCCTTTAATAGCAGATAATTTTCTTCTAATACAGCATTTGGTTTTATTAGTTCCTCAAACCTGAAAGCCAATGAAGACGATGAATAAATGGAAAAGAAATCAAAATTTAGCGTGACATTTCTCATTGCAATATACTACCTTGTTTGTTTAGCCTCATCGGAAAATCGTTTCGGCATAATGTCCATAAATTTTCTTAGCTTACTCCATATACATGCTTCTTTGGATATTTCATCACTATCAGGTTTAAGTTTATGCATTTGTGCCATTCTTTTAGCAATTAAAGTATATACATCAGGTTTTCTTACCGTTTCTGTTGTAAGTGTAACACCTTCAATAAATTGATAAGCCAAGCCATTATTAAATGTTGCATAAATGGAATGTGTGAAGCCTGCCTTATTTAATATCTGAAAATGTATTGCAATTCAATTCAAAGTATATTTTTTACATGTAACTTTATTTTGGTTTTTATTGATATTCTCATACATTTTATAAGTCATTCACTCACCCGAATATTCCTTGTTTCATCTTTGCGATTAATAAGTAGCTCTGTTTTGTGTCCGTAAACTCTGACCAAAACCATTTCATTATAATATTCAGAATACCATACTCCTATGAGCTTATTTGTAATACCATCGTTAAATATCTAAAAGTAAAATTTAGTATAATCATTAAATATGTAGTTCAATTTATTATTGTATAGATAATTATGAACTCAAATCT